TTCTTCTCAGTAACGTTGACTTATCTGCCAACACCTACATTATAAGCCAGTGACTGTAAAGAAGCATTCTTTCTACCACCTAGTCTGGATAAATGCCCTCTTATACATCCTCACTTTTCCTCTTATTACAGCAATTATCAAGCTATATATACTTTTTAATTTAATTTAATTTTTTTTATATACAGCAGGTTCTTCTTAGTCATCCATTTTGTACACATCAGTGTATACATATCAATCAAAATCTCCCAGTTCATCACAACACCACCCCCACACCCCGCTGCTTTCCCCCCTTGGTGTCCATACGTTTGTTCTCTACATCTGTGTCTCAATTTCTGCCCTGCAAACCAATTCATCTGTACCATTTTTATAGGTTACACATATATGCGTTAATATACGATATCTGTTTTTCTCTTTCTGACTTACTTCACTCTGTATGATTGTCTCTAGATCCATCCACGTCTCTACAAATGACCCAATTTCATTCCTTTTTATGGCTGAGTAATATTCCATTGTATATATGTACCATATCTTCTTTATCCATTCGCCTGTTGATGGGCATTTAGGTTGCTCCCATGACCTGGCTATTGTAAATAGTGCTGCAATGAACATTGGGGTGCATGTGTCTTTTTGAATTATGGTTTTCCCTGGGTATATGCCCAGTAGTGGGAGTGCTGGGTCATATGGTAATTCTATTTTTAGTTTTTTAAGGAACCTCCATACTGTTCTCCATAGCGGCTGTATCAATTTACATTCCCACCAGCAGTGCAAGAGGGTTTCCTTTTCTCCACACCCTCTCCAGCATTTGTTGCTTGTAGATTTTCTGATGATGCCCATTCTAACTGGTGTGAGGTGATACCTCATTGTAGTTTTGATTTGCATTTATCTAATAATTAGTGATGTTGAGCAGCTTTTCATGTGCTTCTTGGCCATCTGTATGTCTTCTTTAGAGAAATATCTATTTAGGTCTTCTGCCCGTTTTTGGATTGGGTTGTTTTTTTTTTTTAATTGAGCTGCATGAGCTGTTTATATATTTTGGAGATTAATCCTTTGTCCATTGATTTGTTTGCAAATATTTTCTCCCATTTTGAGGGTTGTCTTTTCGTCTTCTTTGTGGTTTCCTTTGATAGGAATTGCATTGAATCTGTAGATTGCTTTGGGTAGTATAGTCATTTTCACAATATTGATTCTTCCAATTCAAGAGCATGGTATATCTCTCCATCTGTTGGTACCATCTTTAATTTCTTTCATCAGTGTCTTATAGTTTCCTGCATGCAGGTCTTTTGTCTCCCTAGGTAGGTTTATTCTTAGGTATTTTATTCTTTTTGTTGCAATGGTAAATGGGAGTGTTTCCTTAATTTCTCTTTCAGATTTTTCATCATTAGTGTATAGGAATGCAAGAGATTTCTGTGCATTAATTTTGTATCCTGCAACTTTACCAAATTCATTGATTAGCTCTAGTAGTTTTCTGCTGGCATCTTTAAGATTCTCTATGTATAGTATTGTGTCATCTGCAAACAGTGTATAGAGTCTGACAGTTTTACTTCTTTTCCAATTTGTATTCCTTTTATTTCTTTTTCTTCTCTGATTGCCATGGCTAGGACTTCCAAAACTATGCTGAATAATAGTGGTGAGGGTGGACATCCTTCTCTTGTTCCTGATCTTAGAGGAAACGCTTTCAGATTTTCACCACTGAGAATGATGTTTGTTGTGGGTTTTTCATATATGGCCTTTATTATGTTGAGGTAGGTTCCCCCTATGCCCACTTTCTGGAGAGTTTTTATCATCAGTGGGTGTTGAGTTTTGTCAAAAACTTTTTCTGCATCTATTGAGATGATCATATGGTTTTTATTCTTCAGTTTGTTAATATGGTGTATCACATTGATTGATTTGCGTATATTGAAGAATCCTTGCATCCCTGGGATAAATCCCACTTGATCATGGTGTATGACCCTTTTAATGTGCTGTTGGATTCTGTTTGCTAGTATTTTGTAGAGGATTTTTGCATCTATATTCATGAGTGATATTGGTTTGTAATTTTCTTTTTTTGTAGTATCTTTGTCTTGTTTTGGTATCAGGGTGATGGTGGCCTCATAGAATGAGTTTGGGAGTGTTCCTTCCTCAGCAATTTTTTGGAAGAGTTCGAGAAGGATGGGTGTTAGCTCTTCTCTAAATGTTGTCAAGCTATATTGTAATAACTGTTCACTTTTGTATTTCAGAGCTCCTTGGAAAGGAACAGTGCCACTTTTATTTCTATATCCCCGATACCATTTAAATTCTACTTAGCACACAAAAAGTGACTTTTAAATATTTACCTTTCAATTGAGGCATCTGGCTAATGTTTTCTATTGCTTGCTGGTATTTCCACTGCAGTAGAAATTCTCAAAACACTTGTCTACACTCACTATCACCAATCCCTCTCCTCGTATTCTCTCTTGATTTCACCTCATCAGGCTTTTGCCCTCACTACCTTATTGCAACTGCACTTGCTGAGGTCATTAAGGATTTCATGCTGCTAAACTCAGTAGTCAATTGTCAATCCATCATACTTAACCAGTCAGAAATATCCAGCACAGTTGATCACTCCCCACTCCCTTTTCCTTGATACATTGTCATCAGGACAGCTCATTCTCTTGGTTTTCCTCCTCTTGATGCTTCTTTCCAGTCTCCTTTGCTGGTTCCTTTTCTCCCAAACCCTTGGGTTGGAGTGCCTCCTAGCTCAGTCTATTGTTTCCTCTTTGTCCCCACACTCCCTGGGTGAGCTCATTGATTTAAATACCACCTATGTTCCTAAGACTCACAAATGTTATCTGTAGCACAGACCACTTTCCTGAACTCCAAAATTCATTTCAAGCTAACTTCTCAACATCTTCACTTTTTTTTTTCTGACACCTCCATTTATAACTGAATTCCCAGTCTTCACCTGAAAACTACATTTTTGTGCAGTGTTTGCCTACTCAATTGATGTGGTTCAGTCCTACCCCTCCTGTTTTCTGTAAAAAGCTCCAAACATGGGCCTCCTTAAGGTTTTGGAACATGCAGAGCATGTTTCCACTTGTGGACTTTTATCCTGTTTGTTCCCCCTGATTGGAATATCTCCTCCAAGTATCTGCATGGGTAACTCTCTCAGCAACTTTGCCTTTTTAAAATTGTTACACTTTCAAGGAGGCCCACTGGACCATCCTAGGTAAAATCACAAGCTACCCTGTCCCCAACCCTACCCCTAACTCTAGATCCCCCTATCATGTATATTTTACTTTTATTTTACTAGATAGTTAGATGATAGATAGATCGATAAATCTATCTGATTTTAAGTTTACTTTCCTTGCCAGAACATTTAGTTCTAGGATTTTTTCCCCTTTTCTGCTTTGTTTAAGATGTATATCAAGAGTCTAGAACAGTATTGGGACATATTAAATGCTCAAGAAATACTTATTGAATGAATAAATGCCCTACTTCAAAGTAAAGATACTTAAAATTGAACTGATTATCCCTCAAAAGCAGCTTCTCCATAGCTTTACTCTTTATTTTACAACCATTTTACTAGATACCCAGAAAAAAATCTAGAGTTATTATTACTTCAAGAAGGACTTTTTTTTTTTTTTTGCGGTACGCGGGCCTCTCACTGTTGCGGCCTCTCCCGTTGCGGAGCACAGGCTCCGGACGCGCAGGCTCAGCGGCCATGGCTCACGGGCCTAGCTGCTCCACGGCATGTGGGATCTTCCCGGACCGGGGCACGAACCCATGTCCCCTGCATCGGCAGGCGGACTTTCAACCACTGCGCCACCAGGGAAACCCAAGAAGGACTTTTTTGATATGTTTATGATTGAGTTCATTTTGAAATTGATGGAAACAATCTTCCCTTGACTTCTGTGATACCACACTCTTCTGGCAACTTACTCTTTCTTCATCTCAGTTGTCGACTATTCTTTCTACATTTTCTTCTTTATCATTAGTGTTTCTAGGTCATCAGTTCTTCTCCTTCTACTCAGTTTATCTGGGTAATGTCAGACATCTCAGTGGCTTCAATGAGCTTCCTGAATTTATGATGCCTAAACCTGTATGCCAAGAGCAGATATCTTAGTAAACTGCAGACTGAAGAGGTTAAGAATATGCCATCCCAAAACCTGTCACTTTGGCACATTGATTATTTTGAACTGAAGGCAATTGAGAAACAGCAGATGAAGAAGGGCTTTCTGATCCCCCCCTTTCTATCTAAAAGCAGATCGTAAAATTTCCATGTGCCAGGAAGAGAAGAACATTCTTATCACCAGAGAGTGGGAGTCAATGCCAAAATGGATCTGAGCAAAAAAATGTACAAAAATGAAAATAACCCTTATTTTCCACTTGTTTCCCCCATGTATTTCCTAGTCGCTTTCCCACAATTTAGTGCCCTAGTAGCTTAATCCCTTTTCCTTTATGTTTACACTTCATCACAAATTTATCATTCTCTGGTTAAAAAAGCAGGTAAACTCTCAGTCCTAACTACTTCTTCAGGTCTTTATTTTTCGTATGAAGTATCCCTTGTATTAAATAAAATTTGTGTGCTTTTTTCCTGTTACTCTATGTCAGTTTAATTCTCAGGTCTTGTCACCGAACCTAAGAGGGTAGTGGAAGGTTACTCTTCTCCCCTACAAGTCTTCTCTAGACCTTTTAAATTAATTCAATTCAAGTACTTTGCATTCAAAATAAACAAACCTGAATTCATCATGTTTTGCACACTTTCCCCCAACATGTACTTACATCCTCTACCTTTTAACAATCAAAAATTTGCTCCTTTTCCTTTATTCCCATTTTGAGTGAGTGCCACCTCATTGCCTACCCCCAAATTCTGTGCATTTCACTTCATTTCCCTTTCCAACTGTAAATTAATCAACGAATTGTTTTAAATATTTTTGGAATCTATTTTTCTCCATTCCCGGAGCCAGAATGCATGGATTTGAACCCTGGTTCTGCCCTATGTTAACTAATTAGCCTTTGGCAAGTTAACTTCTCTGAGTCTCATGCTCGCTTCGACAGCACATTATACTAAAATTGGAACGATACAGAGAAGATTAGCATGGCCCCTGCATAAGGATGACAGAAAGAAAAAAAAAAATTCTCTGAGTCTCAATTTTCTCACTACAAGATGAGAATAATAACTACTTCTACCTGTTGGGTTATTCTCAAAATTAAAGGAGCTGATGCATAAAAAGCATTTAGATGACAGTCTGGAACACACTCAGTAAATATTAACCATTGTATTTTATATCACTCCCCTACCTTAAATTTTTCAGTGACTTATTGGTACCTTTTGGAAGAGTTGCAAATATCTTAACAAGGTTTGCAAGCCTCTTTGAAAACTAGCCTTCACTTACTAATCTTGTCGCTGAACCCTTTGCACTCTGCTCTACTGTAAGGAATTTTTTTTCAGTTCCTCTGAGATGCCTGTTCTCTTTCACCTCTGTATGTATAAACACATGTTTACCCCTTGCCTGTTTGGGCAATGTTGTATTTAAGCTTGAAATTTTACTTCGTGGAGCCTAATACAACGCTTGAACCCCGTGTTTCCACTGTTATACTGCTTGTCATGTCGTGTTTTATTTAGTGGTCTCACTATATTGTTACCACTTTGAGGGAAGGGAGAATATCTGTCCTTCTTGCAGTATCCCAATTGAAGGTACTTAGTTAATATTTGTTGAATGAATGTTGAGTTAGCAGAAAGTTTGAGTCAAGTTTATAGCTCCATTTAATTCCTATAAAACAGCATAGATTTGACAGTGTTCAATCATTTAACTCTAAATAAGATCTTAAAAACAATACAATTACAGTTTGCTAAAAAATAATACATTTTTAAATAACAAGGGATTTCTTGAAGAGGCAGAGTCATTTCTATGAAATTTTAGTTTCACCTTGTTCTACTACTAAATGTTCTTATTACTATATTAAGGTCAGTTGTGTTATGCAATCTAATTTAAGACTTGAAGATACCAACACTTCACTGTAATGTAAAAGGGAGTTCAGAGATTAGTGGTTTTTATATGCTTAGTAATATTAAATGACAGTGATTATAAAAAGAACCTTAGGTTTATTGATCAGATGTGTAAATTATCAGTCACTCGTCTTGACTTCTAATAAAAAAAACCTGCAAGTTTAAAACTGTTTTGAAGACTTCTAACATTTGACCTTCAAATTTTCGATTTGAATCAATGTCTAAACATAAATTGGAGTACAATGTGCATTATTCAGGAATGATTGTAAACTTTTACTCTATTTTATTTTATTCTCAACTAATAAACTTTATATCAAGAAGTCAAAAATGAAGAAGGAAGGAAAAATTGTTTTTATTTTTTTAATTATAAATCAATGTAAACTCTCTCTCTATATATATATATGTATATATATATATATATATACATATATGTATAGTGAGAAAGCAAGAAATGAGAGTAGAGAAGACCTGAAGACTTATTTCTCTTTATATATACTGAAATTTATACATGAAATATATTTAAACATAACCATATGTACAATATAGTGAGAAAATAACAGTGTTCAGCATGATTACTGTATATATTGATAAAGAAATATTGCATTCAGGAGAACACATCAAAAAACAAAGATGTGGAAGTAAAGAGTAAAATAAAATTTCATTACTAGGCATTTTTTCAAAAGGATGTCAGCAATTTATGAATTTAAATTTATCTACTAGTAGGAACCATTTGCTCTTAACTTTCTAATGGGCTGCCTGATGATAATCTGCATATATATAAATCTTTGCTTTATTTTAACACAAGAGAACTTAAAAATATAATAAATGAACTGAAGAACTTAAGATCTAAGCTTATAACTCCTTTGCTTAAATATCTTTAACGGCTGTACATTTTCTACACAATAAAAACCAAACTTCCATCATACTGCAGATCTTCTAAAACCTGACTTCTACTTACCATTTCTCTCACTGTACTCATCTCTTAAACTATCTTTCCAAGCACCATACATGCTCCTCGCCTCAAACCAAACAAATAGCTTGCCTTGGTACCTTCTTTTTTTTTTTTTTTTTTTTTAATCATCAACTTGCTTGTTTTGTTCCTTAGCTTCAAATTTCCTCATCATAGTTAAAGACAGTTTATTCATCTTTTAGTGTCCCACTCAAAACCAAACACCTCTGGGGTCTTTTCTTGATCCTCCTCAGCAAGAATTCATTACTTTTTGTCCCATGTGACGTGCTTACCTTCTGCTTTGGAGTATAGGCAAATTGAGAACAGATTCCATGCTTTCCTTATTTTTCCTAACCTCACGCAACAGTGACTTCCCTAGTTCTTTGCATATCATACATATTTAATAAAACCTCATTGAGTTGCATTGAAAGTGAGCTTTGGTACATTTTAAAACATTTGGGGGAATTTCCTGGTGGTCCAGTGGTTAGGACTCTGAGCTTTCACTGCGAGGGCGTGGGTTCAATCCCTGGTCAGGGAAATAAGATCCCACAGGCCACGTGGCTCAGCCAAAAAAAAAAAAAAACCCAAAATAAATAAAACATTGTAGAAAGCTTTTTATAGAATATATTGTCATTATGCATAGTGATCTGCATTCACTACAATAACCTGTGCTTCTGCTTTTCTCCTTAATTCCCTGTAATTCACCCTGCCTTCCTTCCAAACCATGCTGATATCTGAGCACTCAGAAGACTTCTCGGGAGACACAACAAAAAGTTATAGAACTAAATGAAGATGTTTTCAGTTTCCCTATTTTATTCATGATTTGATATTAAAAGTAGGTTATTTTTGTTTAATGGGCATTTATTGAATACCCAAAATGTCTCAAGGCACTAAAATTTACCCTGGAAAAATACAAATGAACATGATGTATCCCCTGAGGACATCATAAGCTAGTGAGAATGCCAGACCCAAATACGGATAATTCTGTTAGAGGTGAATAAGTACTAAAATCGGAGCCTGTTGTGACATTGAGTCTCTGAAATGATAGTGATTCAGATAACATTCGCTAGCTAATAGGTTTTTTCATTTGTGCTTAGATAATCTTTGCTCTTATAAAATCAGAGATTTGTTTTCTGCTGTTGTGAAAAGGGAGAAAACTCATGTGTGAATCTTCACTGGATGGCAGTCATTCAGCAAAGAGTTATTGAACACTTATTATGTTCCAGGCAGAGTTTTTGGCACTTACAGATGACACAGTCACCATCCTCATGAAGCTTGCCTTTTCTTGAGTGAGAGATCTTGACTGAGAGAGTCCTGTAGGTAAATAAATATCTGACATATCTTAGATAATGATACATGATACAAAGAAAACAAAACAGATCTTGGATTTAAGAGTGGGAGACTCTGCCTAGATATGCTGATAGTGGAAGACCTCTTTGAGCAGTTGATACCTGAGTTAAAACCTGAATGAGATCATGATCAAAAAGCTTGTCTTCAGAAAAATACCATGGTGGTATAGTTGTATATCTTTTCACAAGACATTCATTTTATTTGGCTCTTTATTCTAGTGGTTTCAAGCAAAGGAAGAAGGGTAACTAAGTTTCCCAGGTGGTTCTGCTTACCTAGTTTAAGATTTACAGCTCACCTCAGTAAGAAGTGCCATTGATATGTTTTTCACCATGGATCCTTTTTTTTTTTTTTTAACACCTTTATTGGAGTATAATTGCTTTACAATGGTGTGGTTAGTTTCTGCTGTATAACAAAGTGAATCAGCTATACATATATCCCCATATCTCTTCCCTCTTGCGTCTCCCTCCCTCCCACTCTCCCTATCCTACCCCTCTAGGTGGTCACAAAGCGCCGAGCTGATCTCCCTGTGCTATGCGGCTGCTTCCCACTAGCTATCTATTTTACGTTCGGTAGTGTGTATATGTCCATGCCACTCTCTCACTTCGTCCCAGCTTACCCTTCCCCCTCCCTGTGTCCTCAAGTCCATTCTCTACATCTGCGTCTTTATTCCTGTCTTGCCCCTAGGTTCTTTTAGATTCCATATATATGTGTTAGTATACGGTGTTTGTTTTTCTCTTTCTGACTTACTTCAACAATGGACGCTTTTATGTATTCTTTTTCTTTCTTTTTTTTTTTTGTTTGGTACGCGGGCCTCTCACTGTTGTGGCCTCTCCCGTTGCGGAGCACAGGCTCCGGATGCGCAGGCTCAGCGGCCATGGCTCACGGGCCCAGCTGCTCCGCGGCATGTGGGCTCTTCCTGGACAGGGGCACGAACCCGTGTCCCTGCATCGGCAGACGGACTCTCAACCACTGCACCACCAGGGAAGCTCCCTTTTATGTATTCTTGCCAAGGAATCCTAGACTATTTCACAAGCACATTCTCCTGGAAAAATGACAAAAGTTGTTATTGGAAGGGTATATAGCTGTTTTTCTCCAAAATTTTTCACAGTAGTTATAACAAATAAGTACATCTTCCCTTTTGAAGTATATAAAGTGTGATTATACAGTTTATAACATCTTTTAACAAACATACTACAATTATATGCTCTGAGTAAAATTAGTCAAATGAATTTGCTTAAGAGGTTCAATAATATTGTGTAATACAAATATATGTCCAGAAGGGTATGTTATGTACATGACCCTGGTATGAATCTAAGTGACTTTTCACACTTCCTAATTTATATTTGATTTTTATAAAGTCAAAAGTGACTTTAGGGGTTTCCCTGGTGGTCCAGTGGTTAAGACTTCTCCTTCCAACGCAGGGGGAGGAGGTTCGATCCCTTGGCTAGGGAGCTAAGATCCCACATGCCTCCTGGCCAAAAAACCAAAACATAAAACAGAAGCAATATTGTAACAAATTCAATAAAGACTTAAAAAAAAAAGTGACTTTAGAGTCTAGTCCATAAACTGTGTAATGAGGAGAGTAATATCTGATAGTAGAATGCCCCTAACCACCCTCGAATTGAAACACGATGAGTTTTATTTTCTTTTGTAGTTCACACGTTGTTGATTGGTTAGAAAACATCAATTTGTTCAAAGGCACACAAATTTAGTGGCAGAACCAGAATGTACATTTCCAATGTCCATCTCCTATTCAGTTTCTAGTGTTTTAAAAAGGATAATGGAGTGAATGAACATTTAGCTTCTGGCAAAGATATTGTTGACTAAATTAACTTCTCAAAATTTAGATTATTTCAGTCTATACATGTCAAAACCATTAGGTGTTTTTTGTTTGTTTGTTTTTTCCTTCTGGATCAAGGCATTGTGGTGAGAATATAATTTTTTTTAAGATATATTCAGAACCAATCTTATTTCCGTCCAACTTTAGAATGTAAATTTTAGGTCAGAAAAAAATTATAGCAGAAAATAGAAATTAATGAGAGCTGTTGGACATTAAAGTAATGCCACAGCACCTCACTTTAATCAAATTCATTGTATATTTCCTGTTCAACTTTGGTTCTAAGTGTCGTCAAGCTCATTTCTTTGTAATCAAATACAATGAAAATTAACCTGTTTTTTAAAGAAATGTTGTTGAGCTAATGAAAGCAATGGAAATAAGTAGTTTGACCAAAAAAGAAAAAAGAATATGGAAAACTTAATTACCAGATGTCATTATTTATGGGTAAATATATAAATGCAAAATATGTAGGGAAAACGAAATATATTCTTTTACCATCGAAGAGTTGTGCCTATTTAATTGGCCTTCATTAAATTGGTAACAGGGACACATCAGCAACCTTTGGAAAGCTTACACAAATTGTATCAATTATAAAGCTATTAAGATTGACTTAATTGTGCTGTCTCACTAGCAGAAAACGGGTCAGTTAGTTCAAGCCTCTGGAACACACATTATGAACTATTTAATACACATGTTCCTCCCGTTCCTTAGTAGCAAAGTTGTGTGACAGGTCTGTTTATGAAGATTGCATTGTAGAAGAGGTATTTCTTCCAGATCTCACTTCAGTGTGAATATTTTGCAATTATTGGGTATGACTTGTGCTTTATTCAGTGAAAACCTCTTTTCTTCCCACACGGGACTTCGATATCAAATGGAAGTAAAGATTGCACCTAAACGCTTATTATGAGCCAGGCAACCTTATGAAATGATTATATTATCATCTCCAATTCACAGGTGAATACAGAGAAGTGAAGTAACTTGCCCAACAGCACACAACTAGTAAAGTGGCAGCGTCCAGTTACAAACTCAGCAGGTGTGGTTCCAAATCCTACACTGATTTTAGCACTAGAGAATTCTCTCTCTCAATTCTTGTGTTGACATTTCCTTTCAGTTATACTTGGGCAATCATAACAGGTGCTGTTTTAAGAATAAATAAATATTAGATTTGTGTCTTAACCCACCCAGGTTTTAGGGCCATATTTTAAGTCTGTCGTTTCTGCGATGAACTTGGAAATCCTTTGGCCTTTAATAGAAAACTTCTCTAAAGACTATATTTTATTTGAGATGCAGTTGTTGAAATGTATACAAAATGTATAACTATGAAAAAATATTGCACCTTATACATTTTCAGTTGCAAAACTAAGATAATGGGGTGTGTTTGATTTATTTGCTGTCAATTTAAAGACAGTATTTTAGCTAAAGCAGTCTGTTGTAAACAGTTTTCTATTTAGAACATTCCCAGAGTTGACCATAGTTGCTTCTTTTTCTTTTTTCTTTTCTTTCTTTCCTCCTTTTGCCTTTGTATAATTTAAAACATTAAAAGCAATAAAGAGCAGAACAGAAACATTGCATTATTCCCGAAAATTCTTCCCTGAGGTAAGGTTTAAATTAATCAATGTAAGATTATTCACTAACGTTAAAATGGCTGCTCCATAAAGCACAGGCATAATTTCTGTTTCATATGGGGTTTTCAGAGCATTTCTAATGAATTCAGAGGATCATCTAATCCCAGAAAGAATATTTCCTTACACTCAAGAGGTCAGTGTCCTCTGTTTGGCGTCAGAAAATACCTAAACTTCTTTTTGTTTGATTTCTATCTGGCACCTCCTTTTTTTGGCATATCCTGTTGGCATCACCCCATAGAAAACTTCCTGAAAAGCAGATCAGATTGTTGTGATCCAGAAATGCTTTTGTCTGGCTTCTAGGTCATGCTTTAAACCCAGAACAAGTGACAGGGCTAAGCATACTATGTGAAAATAACCAGTCATTAAACTCGAGAGGTTTTTTTTTAAATGATGCAAAATACTCAAGTTGCAAGTAGAACTATTTTACATAAAAGTCCAGTGATGATGATTTTTGGCCAGAACTTGGAATAGCTGGGAAAAATATCAAGAAAAACAATTTTTATCAAAAGTCAAATTAGTTTTTGAAGCTGGTGTTAATTGGCAGCCAAGGTGTTTCATTATGAAGCTGAATTTTTAACAGTTGTTACTTAGTTACTATGAAAACACCAGCCAGAAGAAAACACTGCAGCTGTAATGGATATTTCTCCAGTCTTTCCCTGTCCCTCTGCCAACAGTGTCAATAATGTGAGTCCTGTTTCTAAACACCTATGTGCTGCCTGGAAATTGCCTGTGTTGGCTGTTTATTCAACTTCATTTCCAGATTAGATGCATATTTGATAATCAACAGGTTCAAGGATGATCACTTTCAAACTGCCGGTGTTGTATTTTTCTGTTTTGCAATTCTCTATGTTTGAGTGAAACCTTAAGAAGACCTTACTGGAAGAACTGTCTTTTCTTGTAACCTGGAGTATTGAGCTAACCACAGGAAATATATAAATTGTAACTAGAAAGATGATTCTTTTGGATGAAGCAAAGAGAAACGTGGTGCCTTATCTCTATGTGTGAGTGTACCTACTGCTGTTTTTTTTGTAAGGAAAAACACCTGAGGGCCATAGGTAGCAAGTTCCAACTGTTTATTCCCCTTCCTAGTAATAAACAGCACGAAGGTTTCTCTCCACATGTAACACATCCAAAGCCCCTGGGAGTATGTATGCTTTGATATTTTCCCTATCCTGACATTTTACTAGCTGACTAAGAAAAAAAATTGGTTTGCTCAAAGTCCTTCAACCTATAGGCGACAGATTCTTGTATTGTCCTGTCTATAGTCATCCTTTTGATTTCTGTTATGTTTAGCATCTAGTTTTATGGTGATGTATAGAGAAAATCATTTTTTTTGTGGTGATGTGATAAAAGTATTAGTTTAAATTACTTGCCAACAGTTCACCAACCAAATAATTTAACTATGTAATTATAGTCTTATTGAAGCCTTTGCTATTGATTTTAAGAAGCAACCATGGATCTATTTGTTGTCCTTCAGAGCAAAAGCAGCTTTTCCTGTTGCCTTGCAAAATCTCAGCTAGGGTCTTACAGAGCAAAATAATGAATGCTTCCACTGCAGCATGTCACAGGGGAGGCTGGGACAATACTGAACTCATGCACATCACTGATCCTTACTTGCTGGGCAACATGTATGCCTGGATTTCTGACAGCCCTGTGGGTTCACTAGAGACCTCAGTCATTCTGTTCATCCTTTCGTAGGCAATGGTCGAGACAGTTAACAACCTCCTCCAGCCACAAGCCTTGAATGCCTGGAGAGACCTGACTACAAGTGATCAACTACGTGCAGCCACCATGTTGCTTGACACTGTGGAGGAAAGTGCTTTTGTGCTGGCTGATAACCTTTTGAAGACTGACATCGTCAGGGAGAACACAGACAATATTCGTAAGTGGCCTTTGTTCTACAGAAGGGCCAGAGAGGGACAAGAAAAAGCTATCATCTTGTTCAGCAGAAGAGAGAAAAGAAAAAAGTATCATCGATAGCGGACCAGATATCATGAGTGATACTTTATTTCAGTGGAGATAAGTTATCCTTTTTCTATAATTAGGAGGGTATCACCTATCATTAGCTTAGAAGTATCCTCATAATCATGTATGTATCCTCCTAAGGACATTCCAATATTGAATATATTAGCCTGAGATCACTTACAATGAGGTCCGTGTTTTTTTTTTTTCAGTTTTTATGTATGTGTGTATCTATGTATGTACAGTAGTATTTAAAATTTTATCCTTATGGATCACTTCAGTTATAATAAGAATGTCTCTGAATTATAAACTATAAAGAAGCCAGTCATTTACATGACGGTGATAAAACAATTTTTGATAATTGTGTTATTGGCTCATAAAGAGTATAAATCTATTTTTAATGTGTCTAAGGATGTAGCTGACAGTTTTATTTCAGAACATTTGATAAAGCTATTTCAAACTTATTACATTTAAAGATAAGTCAATATTGACATAATAGTACAGCTCTAGATTATAAAAGGATTTTCACTTAATTCATAAAATAAAGATAACATTTTGAAAGTAAACTTATGGTCAATGACAAATTGTAAGGATTTGAGCTTGAGTTTTAAAGTCTAGACTTTATAATTGATATCCTTGTATTCTTATCTACCTGATTTTAATAGCTTTTGTTTGCTTTATTTTGAAAAAAATTAAAACACTAAAAAAACTTCTAAATAGAAGACTGAAGTACTATAAAGTATGGCAGACAGAACATTAATTCCAGTGTTTTGATTTCAGAAATATTTCAATAATTAGATTATCTTAAATTTGTCATGTTTCTCAACGACCACTGATATGTCTTTGCCATTAATAGAATTGGAGGTTGCAAGGCTGAGCACTGAAGGAAACTTAGAAGACCTAAAGTTTCCAGAAAACATGGGTCATGGAAGCACTATCCAGCTCTCTGCAAATACTCTAAAACAAAATGGCCGAAATGGTAGGTTAGAATTTATTTATTAAGTTTGATGGAATTGAACTTGTCATTAATTCATTGCATCTTGGCTTCAAATTTTAGATCTGCTATCTAAAAGCTCTCCTCTCCTCTCACTACACTGTTCTCTTTCTTCACCTCCTCTTCCTCCTCTTTCTTAGCTCCTGCACCAACAATATTGCAATGATATTTGCTCTACAAAATTCTCAATTAGATTTGGAAATTGTTGTTAATTTTCAGTTGTAGAAAACTATCAGAAACTTGAATGTAAGGGAAATTAATAAACAACAAAATCCAGATGTTCTGACTTTTTTCCTTAAAAGGAGTAACTCTCACCAAGTTGACAGATTTTGTTTCTAAAATTTCAAATGGAAATTTTACTTGTAATTTTAAAATTATATGTGTTTTTTCTTTATTAACTTCTTTTTGAGGGTGTTTCTATGCTTTTCCTTTGCAAAGCATATAAAAAATATAAATGTAAGGAGATGCTTTTGGGGAATGGAACTGGTAGATATCAATTGATTTAGTACTAGGTTTTATTCATTGAATATAATTAAAATTAAGTAAATAAATAATCCCACAGAGAAAGTATGTCTGAAGCCTCACTAATATTAATTTTTTTTTAGTTTTCTTTATTTATATTTTGACTGCACTGGGACTTCATTTCCGCACACGGGCTTTTTCTAGTTGCGGTGAAGGGAGGCTACTCTTCATTGCGGTGCACAGGCTTCTCATTGCAGTGGCTTCTCTTGTTGCGGAGCACAGGTTCTAGGCGTGCAGGTTTCAGTAGTCGTGGCTTGCAGGCTCAGTAGTTGTGGCTCACGGGCTTAGTTGTTCCGCGGCATGTGGGAACTTCCCAGACCAGGGCTCGAACCCTTGTCCCCTGCATTGGCAGGCAGATTCTTAACCACCGTGCCACTTTAGGGAAGTCCCTAAAATTTTTTAAACATATTCTTTGCTAAGGAAGTGAGATCCTTTAACCTGCTAGGTGATAGGAAGATGACTTCAGGTTGTAGCAACCAACTGGAAGCTGATTTTTCATATTACAAGGTAAATAGTTTTGAAAAAAGAAGAGACTGTTAAATAATATCAAGAAAAACAAATTATGTTTGTTACCAGCAGAACAAAATTCTTAATAAGTGTTGGAAATCTTATAAGACTGAATTTATAAATAGTACTATGTTGCTAAATTGACTGTGAATTTTGAGGCAGCAGTAAGATTTTCCTTTTTTTTTTTACTCTTTTATTTATTTATTTATTTAAATTTTTGAATTTTATTTAATTTATTTTTTTTATATAGCAGGTCCTTATTAGTCATCAATTTTATACACATGAGTGTGTAATAAGATTTTCTATAACACGAAATCAGATTCCTGCATTAGCTTCCTGACTGGTTTCCCTTCTTTGACTCTTGCCCCACAACAGTATGTCCTGTTGACAAAGTGTTCTTCCTGAGACATGAGTCTGACCAGTTCACCTCCAGTTATGCTTAGAATGAAATCAAGTGACTTAACAGGCCTACCACATGCTCCCCAGCCCACTTCCTTCCTGCCTCAGCTGCTCCACCTCACGTCTGTTTTTTTTTTTTTTTTTTTTTTGCGGTACGTGGGCCTCTCACTGTTGTGGCCTCTCCCGCTGCGGAGCACAGGCTCCGGACGCACAGGCTCAGCGGCCATGGCTCACGGGCCCAGCTGCTCCGCGGCATGTGGGATCTTCCCGGACCGGGGCACGAACCCGCGTCCCCTGCATCAGCAGGCGGACTCTCAACCACTGCGCCACCAGGGAAGCCCTAAGATGTACTCTCATATCAACTTTCATAATAGACAACACAGTATTATTGGGTTGGCCAAAAAGTTCGTTCGAGGTTTTCCGTAAGATGTTATAGAAAACCCCAAACGAACTTTTTGACCAACCCAATATTAACTGCAGTCACCATGCCACACATTACCTCCCCATGACTTATTTATTTTATAAATGGAAGTATTTACATTTTACCTTCTTCACCCATTTTGCCTACTCCCACTCCTCACCTCTAGCAACTAGCAGTCTGTTTTCTTTATTTTTTTGTTTGTTTGTAAGAGTCCACATGTAAGTGAGATATTTTATCTTTATCTGACTTATTTCACTTAGCATAATGCCCTCAGGGTCCATCCAGGTTATAGCAAATGGCAAAATTTCCCTTTTATGGCTGAATAATATTCCATTCCCCATTTTATATCTCTGTGTATAATTATATATATAACATTTTCTTTATCCATTCATCCATCAGTAGACATTTAGGTTGTTTACATGTCTTGGCTATTATAAATAATTCCGCAATGAAAATGAGGGTGCATAGGTTTTTTCAAGTCAGTGTTTCTGTTTGCTTCAGATAAATATGCAGTAGTAGAATTGCTGATCATATGGCAGTTCTATTTTTAATTTTTTGAGGACTCTCCATACTATTTTCCATAGTGGCTATATCAATTATATTTTTATCTACAGTGCACAGGGTTCCCTAATTCAGTCTTGATTCTATTCCTCAAACACACCAAGAGTGTTCCTTCATCAGATGTTTGCATTTTCTTGCTTCTGGAATGCATATTTTATATTTCTTTTTATAGAAACTTCTCTGTCATTCACTGCTCATTATAAATCTTAACCCTTCAGGAAAGCTTTTCCTATCTCCTCGAAGGTGGACTACTCTTTCCCAATCACTATTTTCCCATTAGCCATTTTCTGCCAGTGCTTCTTCATAGCATTTTTACTTACCATTATATGAAATTATATTATTATTTATTATTATTATTTTTAAGTTGCCTGCTTATTGTCTGACTCTTTCTCTAGGAGATGATCTCCATGAGAGCAAGAGCAAGACAGCTCCCTTCCTCCTCAAAAAAATGGAGAAAAAAAAATTTATTGTCTTTATTCCCACTTGACTCTAAGATTCAGGGATAAGGACTGGGGCTTCCTCGTCTTAGTTACCACAGTGGTCAGTGCAGTTCCTGTCTCTTGGGGATCCACCAAAATGAATTTATACTGGAAGTAAAACATAGGGCTTGACTTATTTTAGGAAAGGAAATGACACAAAATTTTAAAAACATCCTAAAAGAAGGTTAACTTTACAGAGGATTACTTGTAAAAGATCGCCGTGAGGGAAAAAAAAATAAGGTAGAAGGAGGTATGGAGATAGTGATCTTAAAAGAGCATGATAATTGAAGTTTAAGACAAAGATTTTTAAAAAATTTATTTTATTGAAGTATAGTTGATTTACAGTACTGTGTTAATTTCTGCTGTACAGCAAAGTGATTCAGTTATACATAATATACATTCTCTTTATATTCTTTTCCATTATGGTTTATCACAGGATATTGAATATAGTTCCCTGGGCTCTACAGTAGGACCTTGTTTACCCATTCTATATATAATAGTTTGCATCTGCTAATTCCAAACTCCCAATCCATCCCTCCCTCACACCATCTCCCCCTTGGCAACCACAGGTAAAGATTTTGAATCTTTGTTTTGTTTTGGTTTTAATTTGCATAAAATAAAATGCGCATATCTTGTGTTTAGCTTGGTGAATGTGATAGTTGTACATTCTTCTGTGACACCACATAAACTAAGATGAAAATCTCATGTATTACCCAGAAAATGTCCTGATACCTCTTTTCACTCTTCTCACCCCATCTCCCCACCTGATGAACTACTTTCTTCTCATTACTATTTCTAAAGACAAATTTTACCTGTTCTTAGACTTCATGTAACTGGAATCATACAGTATGTACTCTTTCTGTCTGTATTCTTTATCTCAGTATAATATTTTTGTGATTCAGTCATGATGCTCCATCTATCATTAGTTTGTTCTTTATTGATGTATAGTAACTCTATTATTTTAATAAGGCATAATTTATTTACTCTCCTATTGATAGATTTTTGAGTTGTGTCTAGTTTGGAGCTGTTTTGGATAAGGATGTTATAAACATTCTTATACAACATTTTTTCTTTGTGGATACATATTTTCATGTATCTAGGAAGGGTAGATACATGTTTAACTTTGTAAGAAATTGCCAAACATTTTTCCAAGTAGTTGAACCATATTACACTCTCACTAGTAATATGCAGAATTTCATTTGTTCCACATTTTTTACTAACATTAGTGTGGCTAGTATTTTATAGTGTGGATTTCAGAGATCCTAGTGGGTATGAAATGGTATCTCAATATGATTTTAATTTTTATTTCCCTAATTACTAATGATGTTAATTTTTATGTGTCTATTAGCTTATTTAAAAATTTATTTATTTATATCCTTATTTTTGGCTGTGTGGGGTCTTTGTTGCTGCACATGGGCTTTCTCTAGTTGTGGCTAGCAGGGACTACTCTTCATTGCAGCATGCGGGCTTCTCATTGCAGTGGCTTCTCTTGTTGCAGAGCATGGGCTCTAGGTGTGCAGGCTTCAGTAGTTGTGGCACACGGGCTCAGTAGTTGTGGCGCACAGGCTTAGTTGCTCCACAGCATGTGGGATCTTCCCAGACCAGGGCTCGAACCCATGTCCCCTGCATTGGCAGGCAGATTCTTAACCAATGTGCCACCAGGGAAGTCCCATTTAGCTTTTTATATATCTATTTTTAAAGTGTGTTTTTATGTCTTTTTCCATTTTAGTATGTTATTTATAATTTTACTGTTGAGTAGCAGAAATGCTTTATATATTTGAGTCATATGTGTGTATATATTTCCTAGTTTGTGGCTTGCCTATTCATTTTCTTAATGCTGTATTTTGATAGGCACAAAGTTTCAATTTTGATAAAGTTTAGTTTACCATTTTTTATTTTATGGTTAGTGTTTTTTGAGTCCTATCCAAGGCATCTTTGCCTTCCCAAGATCACAAAGGTATCCTATATTTTGTTCCAGAGGCTCTCTGGTTCTGATTTCTATATTTAGGACTGTGATCCATCTTGAATTAAGTTCTGAGTATGGAATAAGTTAGGGATTGAGGTTCATATTTTTTTTAAATACTGATACGTAGTTGTTTCAGTATCATTTGACTTTCCTCATTAATGACTTGGCACTTTGGTTGAAATGAATATTTGAATTTTGTTGTGAATATATATATTATACAGATTTGATTACAATCTAATTAGAACTCTCTAATTTAAGTGGGATGTACAAGCTAATCAGTTTCTTCCCAATTTATATGTACTTATTTTAGGAGAGATCAGAGTGGCCTTTGTCCTGTATAACAACTTGGGTCCTTATTTGTCCACGGAGAATGCCAGCATGAAGTTGGGAACAGAGGCTATGTCCACCAATCATTCTGTTATCGTCAATTCCCCAGTTATTACAGCAGCAATAAACAAAGAATTCAGTAATAAGGTTTATTTGGCTGATCCTGTGGTGTTCACTGTTAAACACATCAAGGTAAAAAAAATGGCATGTGAAGTTTTTTGTTCACATTATCTATATTTGTTATAACAAGAGCATGAAGTGTCTTAATTTCCTTTTTCTTTTTCCCTATTTTTTGACATATAGCAATTCATTGTCTATAAACTGATTAGTGATTTTTTTTCCAAAATGAGGGAGGAAAATAATTCTTGTATATGTATATATTTAAGGTAACAACATTCATAGATGGATTTATAAATGCTTCTCTATAATTAAAAAGAGCTAGCAATATGTTCAGTGGAACTCAGCATAGCTCAACTGATGTTACAAGTAGTTATGTCTTTGTGTGTAGATATATTTTTATGTATATGCAAGGATTGTATTGTAAATTGGACGAAGATTTTTTAAAACCATGCTATCAGAAGTTCATTGTATAGAGCAATTCTTTGCTTTGCAGTATAAATTAATTGATGTGATTCTGAGACAATGATACTAGTATTTCTTCAATATTACTTTTGAAAAATGAATTCACCTCTAATCAGGGGGAATAAATAACATATATTCAATTTTGCTTAGAATTGATAAGCCCCACTTAATATGAAAACTCTGGTAGACCTCTCCACAAAAATTGAAACATAGTGTGAAGTTGTGTTAGATGTAAAAAAAATGCCTACCTAACTTACATGATCAAAAAGTAGTTATTGGCTTTGTTGATGTTTTTTTCCTGTAGCAGTCTGAGGAAAACTTCAATCCTAACTGTTCATTTTGGAGCTATTCCAAGCGCACAATGACAGGTTATTGGTCAACCCAAGGCTGTCGGCTCCTGACAACAAATAAGACACATACTACATGCTCTTGTAACCACCTAACCAATTTTGCAGTACTGATGGCACACGTGGAAGTTAAGGTAAGATACATACCATAAAATAAAAATGGCTTAGCATACAGTTAAGACATTAACTGTAAAAAGTCCTAACTCCATGTCCAACTTGAGTGTGTTTCTACTTTCACAGTAATTCTATTCAAGAACTCTCTGTTGTTCAACCCATATCCTACTGATGAGTTCAAGAACCCTTTTTTTTCTATTATCAATATAGTTCATAAAATTGAAATTTGCTTATAAAATAAAATTTTGCTAAGAAAACTTCCCGTGTTCTTCCCTGCTTTTATTTTGTGTGAGTAAATATCAAACCATATCCTCATGAGCAGGGCAAGGTAGGACCCGAGCACCAAAGGCCAGTGTGATAGGGTTAGAAAGCTGGGATCTGGTAGGCTGAAGACTAAGGAGCCATGCATGGGATTAAATACTCTCAAAATGAGTCTTGGGAAAATAGCTGTTAAACACAGTACACAAAGCATTTGTAATACATAGAGCCTGGCAAATTCTAACATAATGTAATCGTTCTGTCCATTCAAGAAGACACTATTCTAAGGAAAAATCTAGGTGATAGGTTGTTTCCAAAATCAGAAACGTGGCTAACTTGGCTGCATCAGTCTCTTGCCAGGTGACTGGTTGTCTTGGAAGGCAGGAAGAGGATTTAGATTTCGGATATACTTAGGACATAAAAATACAAAGGGATTATTAGCTTGGTTATAGAAATTGATAGATGGGTTAGTAACAAGAAATTATATACTTGTGAATTCTCATCTTCCTGATGTCAATAAAAATAGAGAAAGTATCACTGTCCAATACATTTTAAAACATGAAAACCATGGCAAAGGTTTTATCCACCTGATACCATTTATCCAATAATTTCATCCAAAATTTTCTTTGACTCTGTTGAACTTAGAGATGATGCAGGTATCTTAGAGGGAGACCAAATCCAAGCCCACTCAGGACCTTAGGAATAAATTACCTTAGCTGTGTCAACACAGTCAAGTTTGATCTTTAAAGGACTACAAACCATAATTTGTCAGAGCTTCACGCATTGATCAAGCTTAGTAAGATTGGCTACACTAACAAATGTTAAGTTTAAACCTGGAATGTATTCGTATGGCTCTAGGATTCTATCTTTTCAGTTTATGGAATAAATTCAAATAGAAAAATGGATCATATTTCAAGCAACCACAAAAAATAATTTTTTGCTCAGTTCATTGCATAACCATCTCTACCCAGTCCACGCAAGAATCTTGACTGTGACCATTACTGTGTGTCAACAAGAGATAAAAATAGATGGAAATCAATATTTTCCTTTGACAGTCAGTCATACAGTAAGCATGCCCTGGGTTTCTTGTATCACAATCTCTTGCAATTGCCTGGGTCATTCCCATCTTGATCACACAACCTGATTTTGGCACTTGAAAAACGAAAAACAAGCAGAATGATCATCCCTGGAAGTCCAAAAGGAAACAAACCAACCAAATTTACATTAGACTAATGTCTAAAAATGTATGCTAATTTATTCATGCACAGTGAGATATGCAACAGCCACTTAGAACAGATATTTGTGCTTGCTAGTTATCACTTCCTAACTCCACAGGAAAATCCATAAAGGAAACAAAATTATATTTGAGAATTTTGCTTGATGAGAGCAAGAAGAGTTACCTGAGTAGTCTTGTTGCTATTGCTATTAAGCTGTGGTGCCCTAATGCGTGGGTCTTCACTCCAGGGTTCTACCTGTGTACTGAGTTGCCTTTTCTGTCATCTGTGTTACCTCTGCTATTCATTCAGTACTTCCTTCATTTTTTTTACTAACAATTTTCAAACACCTGAGTAAAGGTATTGACATGTTGCCTGCTACACTGTAGGCTGTCAATAAATGTAACTTCCTCCTGATTTGCCAGAGATATCACTAGATTCCAGCATTCTGGTGAAGCTTCTGGCCCTCATGGAACTTGCATTTCTAAGGGGAAAGAAAGGGCAGAGAAGTGAAGCTGCAGTCATAAATGTGATAAGTCTTATAATTGAGGCCCACACTGTGATTTAGGGACACAGTGGGGGATCGTCTATCTAAGGCAGGACTGGTCAGAGAGGGCTTATCAAAAAAGTGACTTTCTGTGAAGGATGAGTAGGATGAATTTAGTAAGGTAACCTGTGGAGAATTTGTATCAAGCACATTCTTGGAAGATTTTCTTCACTTTGCTTTGGGTACACCACCCTCTCTTGCTTCTTTCCTTCCTCAGCAGCTGGTCCTTTTTAGCTTCCTTTACTCGTTCCTCATCTCCACAGCCTCTTGTTGCTCTGGCCCGGAGCGTAATCCTAGATGTAGTCTAGGCACTATCCATTCTTCCTCTGTAGTTGATCTCATATGTCCATATGGCTGTAAACATCATCTCATGATTCCCAGACTTCTATCTCCATTTCTTAACTCCAGACTCCTAGATTCAACAGTTAACTTGATATATCCACCTAGATTTCTAATAAGGGTCACAATCCTAGAACTACACTTTTGGTGTTTTCCCATCTGTCCTTTCCTTCTTAGTAAATGGTTACTCTGTTCTTCCAGGTGCTCCAGCCCTAAACCATACACCATCTTTGATTTGTTTCTTTTCACTCACACTGCACACCCAATCTCATGAGCATATCCTGCCAGATTTAGCATCTTCATTGCTACTACCTGGATTCCAGCCCTTATCCTCTCTCCTCTGCTGTTTTTTTTTTTTCTTTTTTTTTTGCGGTACGCGGGCCTCTCACTGTTGTGGCCTCTCCCGTTGCGGAGCACAGGCTCCGGACGCGCAGGCTCAGCGGCCATGGCTCTCAGGCCCAGCCGCTCGGCGGCATGTGGGATCTTCCCGGACCGGGGCACGAACCCGTGTCCCCTGCATCAGCAGGCGGACTTTCAGCCACTGTGCCACCAGGGAAGCCCTCCTCTGCTGTTTTGTTACAGCCCTTTAATTGGTCTCCTTGCTTTATTTCTTGTCCTTCTTAAATTTATTCTCAGCGTAATTGCCAGAGGGATACTCTTAAAATGTGAGTCTCTCTTCTGATTTATTCTCAAAAAGCCATACTGTAATCCCTTTAAAATGCAGATCAAGTACTTCACACCTTTGATCCAACCTGAATAACTTCTTATCTCAATAAAAGCAAAGTCCCAAATCCTGACCCCTTTAGCAACTCTTGACCTACTCTCCCACTACTCTTCCCCTTGCTCACTTGGCTTCCTTGCCTTTCCACAAACGCATCAGGCTTGCTCAGGTTAGACTTAAAGTTTCCCTTCTCCTACCCTTCACCCCCCCCAGATAGCCACAAGGTCAGCTTTCTCATCTCCTTCAAGTCTTTGTTCCAGTGTAACCTTCTCAAAGAGGCTTTCCCTGTCCACCCTTTTAAAATTTCAGATTACCCCACTCCCACAAAATACTGTGGGAAATAAGGCAAAACCTGTCCCTGGCCTCAGTCAATTTATACTTTATCAATGGAGAGAAGTATTCAGGCTGGTTTTTGAATGGGGTGCTCAGAGAGGTTTCATAGCTCTGAGGTCAATCTGAGGTCAATTTCATAGGTCAATTTGAGCAGATAAAAGAAGGAAAGGGATGCCCCAAGGTGGCAGTGTTGCCAAAACCTGACCTCAATGCACCGGCACCAAGCTGAACTTCGGAGACTAAGTTTTGGGTGAAGTAGAAAGGAATAGCTTTATTCTTTTGCCAGGGATAGGGGCCCACAGTGGACTAATGCCCTCAAAAGTGTGTGTCCCCACCTGGGGGTGGGGTTGTAAGGAGTCTTATAGTAATGGTTCAAGGGGCAGTGTTGCTGATAAGGATCAGTGTGCATGCAGGGCCTGCATTCCTTCAGTCCAGAAATCATTTGGCGTCAGGTGGTCTTGTGATAGGCTTCTGTGGTTCTGCAGGTTATCGAACTATGACCTTCTCTCTGCAATGAAGAATGTTTCATCAAGTAGTTAACATCCTCCATTTGGGGGGGGGGGTTGCCTACAGAAGAGCTCAAAGATATTGTTATATGTATCTCTTGAGGAGGAACCAGGATCCTGCCCCAAGGCGTCACTATTGTTTCTTGACTGCTTCTCCCTTGTCTCTGCATCCCCTCCCTTCCCTGATTAGCAACTGTTTGAACCTGCCCTTTGGAACTCAGGGGAATGTCATGAAGGCTGAATGAAGTTTATTTCCTACAAACAAGAAATGGGGGGCACAGAAAGAATTTTGTGCCTAGGAGCCCTACAGGGTCCTGCTCAGTTTCAGGAACACAGCTGACTAACTACTTTCGAGTTTTCTCTACTTCTCTTGTCTAAGGAAACATTTGGTTGTCTTCTCTCTCAGATACAAAAGTAATAATTATGGAAAGTTATATAATTTTATATCAAACTGTGGTAGTATGCATGGCATTTTAAAAACTTTTCCATCATTGGAATCACCTGCAGGTTTATTTGTCTGTTGTCCAGTAGAGTGTTGAATACATTAAGTTCAAATGTCTGTCTCTTCTCATACCAGTGATTCTCTTTGTGAACACTCTTTGTGGGAGGGGTATTTTAGTTTGCAGGATCATAAGTTTCAAACTAATTGACTAATTAACATTTCTACTATGGTTTTGTAGAGCACAGTAACAAATGCTTTAGAAAATGGTCTGACAATTTATATCACCTATAGCTTTTTCCTCTACCCAAATTATAATTCTTTGGGGATAATAAAAAAAAAGTCTCCCTACTCATTTCTGTCAGTTCAACTTGACATTGATTTTTATTATCTTTAAAAGGCTTCACTGTCCTTAGTTAGATGCTTGCATCTCTCTCTTTCTCCCTCTCTTTTCTTTTGAGCTTAGTATATCCTATTGCCCCTACCCCAACTTTACCCCAGTCCAAGTATAGGCATTATTTTGCTATTTAAAATCATTGTGTTTCTTTTTAAATTTAGTATTGATTTAAAACAATGATAATTTGGAAATTTTTAACTTCATACCATGGATTCTGTGTGTCAAATATTTTATAACTACACTTTTTCTAGGTTAGAAGAAAATAC